AGGATGAAGCCCACGGCCTCACACACCAGCCAAGTGCTCAGTTTGGATCCTGGCTCTGCTATTGCCTTGCTGATGGCCTAGGGAGGGCAGTCAGCGTCACTGTGCTTCCTCAGTGTGACAGCACCCAGCATGGACTTAACCTGTGAGTCTGTGGGCCCTGGTACAAGTTGGGGTTCACCCCAATGATCACTACATGTGACAGTGAGATGCACACTGCATATCCCTTCCTTCCTTAGCAGCGACCTGGAGAACCCTGTCCTCTCCCAGTGGAGCTGTCCACCAGGGTCCACAGGCCAAGGCCACAGTGGCCAGACTGAATGGTGCAGAGGCGATCACAATGCCCACCTGCCATTTTCAAGCCACCAGCCGGGTCACTCATAGCAAATACACTCATAGAAGTTAGGTGTAGCTCCTTGGTAAAGTGTGTGCTCACGACGTCCCAGCCCTGGCTTCAGTTCCCAGCACCAAAATGTACAGGTTAAGGCTGGAAAGGGCCGGATTAAACCAAGTGAAACACTTCCTGTACTGAAGATTTTAAAGCCTGCTATTGTGATTGGCGGTCCTCAAGATAGGTTTGTAGCATGTGGTATTCTCTAAAGAAGCTAGATACAGCATCTTATGTTAGAACAGCACACCAGTTTGGGGAAGACAGTGAGGTTAAAAAAAGAAATAAGCACGTAAGCCCCTTGGACTATAGCATAAGTGGACATGATGACTCATGAGGATTGAAGTCCAAGCATTATCTCCAAGATGCAAGAATGGCAAGGTTGCACACGCTTTTCAGAAGTGCTTTGTGGCTGAGTATGTTCTTCCAGGAAGTTACTTGTTCAGAATTTTACTCATTCTCAATTGAATTTCTTATTGTAAATTATTGAAGTTCTTTTATATTATAGATACATGTTTTATCAGATATATGAATTACACTTATTTTTTCCAAAATTGTGGCTTGAGTTTTCATTTTATTAGTAGTCCTTTTCAAAGAGCAGAGACTACAAATTGTGCTATTCATTTAATTAATACTCTTTTATTCTGTGGTGCTGGGTATTGAACTTAGACCCTATGCACCTTAGGCAAGCTATACTGAACTATATCTCATGCCCCCACTTTTAAAAATGGTTCTTTCTGTGTCCTAAGAAACCCTGGTGTTTTCCCCAAACTGACGTGTACATGTATGAAAACAAATACCCACAACATAACCAGCCATAAATGTTATGTAAAGTATTTGTCATGTGAAAGGCACTGTTAGAAAAAAAAGTAAGCTGTGGGCCAGGAGACTCTATGTGTACAACATAAGAACTCATTAACTCAGCAGCAAAACAACCTAAGGAGTCTGTCACCCTGATGTGTGGAGCTCTCTCCTCTTTTGATCTAGCAGCTTTTTAGTTTTAGCTCTCATATTTAGAGCTAATTCACTTTTGTCTGTAGATGAGATATCTGCTGAGTTTCACTTTCTCCCACACGATTATCCAATATCACAGCATCATTTGTTAAAATGACTCGCCTCTCCCAAAGAGTTGTGCTGGCATTTGAGTAGAAATTCAGTGGGTCACACACATGTGGGTCTGTCTCTGGAGTGTTTAATTCTGTTGCACTGATCTACAAACCCGACTCTTAGCAGCTCCACGCAGTTATGCTTTACGGAAGTCACAAAATGCAGCAGTGAGTGTTCTCCAATTCTTAGCTTTTTAAAAACAACTCTGGGTCATTTGCATTTCCAATATAGATTTCATAACTGGCTGTCAAAAAAAAAAAAAAGCCTGTGATTTTAGTGAGCTTCCCCTAAATGGATAGATTTAAAGAAAAGTAAAAGCACACCAACAGTCTGTGCTCCAATTGCAGAACACGGTCTACTTGTCCCTTTGTTTAAAGTTTCTTCAATGTATTCTAGATTTTAGTACACAAAGTTTCCAAGTACATTTATCTTTGACAATTTCAGGTTTTTCTGATTCTACTGTAAATAGTAATTTTTATTTCAATTTCCAATTGCTCACTGATAATGCACAGAAATAAGTTGATTATTTTGTGTAGACTTTGTGGTTTGTGACTCTGTTAAATACCTCTGCTAGATCTCCTTGCTCTTTTTGAAAGTTATTTAGGCTTACTATGTTCACTATTATGCCTATCTGTGAATAAAGGTAAATATGCCTCTTTTAATTTCTTTTTTTCCATTAGTTTTGCACAGAATCTCCAGGAAAATATTGACAAAGAATGATAATCTTTATTTCGACCTTGATTTTTGAAGAAAAGCATCCAATCTAGCATCATTAATTATAATAATTGTGTATTTTTCTTAGGTGCCATTGATCAGCTTCAGAAAATGTATTTTGCTACTTTGTTGAAAGTTTTAAAAACTCTTTAGAATAGTTGCTAAATTTTATCAAATGTTTTTCTGCATTTATTGATATACTTGTATGATTTATATCGTTGCTTTTTTGGGTGGGGCAATTATGGATTCCAGGCTGGCCTCCAACTTGTGATCCTCCTTGTCTCAGTCTCCTGGGTACATGGGATCACAGGTGTATGCCACCATTCAAGTCTCCCTTGATTTCTTAATATAGTAAATTAAAATCATTTGCAGATGTTAAACCAACCTTGCATGCCTAAGATAAATACCACTTGGTCATGGTGTATTAACTTTTTGTGTACTTAAAGATTCAACTTGCTTACATTTTATAAGTGACTTTTTGTTTCCATGTTTCTGCAGAATAATAGTCTATAGATTCCTTGTAACATTCTTATTTTTAGTAGCAGGGTAATGCTGAACACATAAAAAAAGTTGAGAAATGTTCATTCTTCTAAAGATGTACAGAAAGAACATTATTTTACTCCTTAAATATTTGCTAGAATTCACCAGTAAAATTCAGTTTCAACAGATATAGAGTGAATAATGTTTCAATTCTTTCTGTAGACAGTTTTGGAAATTCCTGGCTTTCATAAAATATGTCCATGTCCTTTAATCTGACAAACTGACAAGCAAAACATTCTTCATAGTATTCCCTATTATACTAATTCTGCTTATTATTTTACTAATGTTTGAAGGTTCTAATACTGATGTTTCCTGTTTTACCTTTAAAATTGATAATTTGTCTTTTCTCTATTCTTTAGTTCACTGATAGTCATTTTCATTTGATTAATTCTTTATTTCTGTTTTCTCTGTACTTAATGTGTCCTTCCTTTTATAATATGGGAAATTAGATTGCTGGTTAAGGAACCTTCTTTTTTAATATTGGTATTCAAAGCCTTAAACTGCTCTTTAAGCATTGTATTATCTGTAGCTCACATATTTTTGTTTGTTGTTTGCAATGTACCATCTCAGCTTTTTGTTTGCATGAGAAAATTCTTTAATTCACATATCTTTAAAAATATATATATTCTTACATACAGAATTTTAACTTGAAGATTTCTATTAGAAGTTACCATTCTCCTTGCATAACACCTTCTGCCTTGCACATTTTCTGACAAAAAGTTTTTATTAGTTCTTCTGTAAATAATTATCTTTCTTTGCTAGGAGTGCTTTTTTTCATTAGCAAAATACTTTCAGTGTTTTGATTATGATATATATTGGAGTGACTTCCACCACCAGTCATTCAAAGCCTAAAACAAATGTTCCATGTGTTTTGTATAGTTTCCTTTTTTTTTTTTTTTAAGATAAAGGGCTAAATCAACTTTTTTGTATTCTATCATAGCTAGAAGTCAAAGTTCTTTCTTATGTTATGAAAACAAATTCTGGAAAATAGTTTGGCGGTTCCTCAGAAAGTTAAACAGAATTACTATGTGACCTAGAAATTCCACTCCTAAGTACAGACCCCCAAAACTGGAAGTGAGGACTACACAGGTATTTCTGAATGCAGATTCACAGCAGCGTTACTCCCAACAGCCACGGCGGGAAACAGGCCAGGCACCCACCCCCAGACAAAGAGACCAGCTGTGGCACAGGCTCACGCGGGAATGTCATTCTGTTGTGTGAAGAGCCATGACTGCTACGGCGTGTGTTAATTTTGAGAACACCTTGTTAAGCAAAATAAGGCACACACAGAAGGGACAAACACCGTCAGATTCTACTTCTATGCGGTTCCAAAACAGATAAATTTACATGCAGAGAAAACAGAGGTTACTGGCGGGAAGGGGGAGGAGGAGGTATTACATGGGATGATGAAGAAGTTCTGAGAATGGATGGTGGTGAGGGGTGCACAGGGTGAACGGAGTTAATTAACGCCATAACCTAGGCTTTACAATTGGAAAATTTTACATTATGTACATTTTACCTCCATAAAAAACCATCAACAGAGAAGAATGTTTCATCTACAAGGACTGTCCACAAATTGGTCAAATATTCTGATCCAAATATTGAATATAACTTGGAAATCTGAGTATTGCAACAATAAATGCTGTGCGTGATTATTACCTGGATCGTCTGGTATTTGGCCCAACTGCCAAAGCCCAGATGGGCTCTGAGGAGGAGGTGGGAGTAATTTATCACTGTGGGTTTCCTGAGTTTGAGGGTTGTATTGCATTTATGTAGGAGAATGTCATTGTTTGCAGGAAATGCACACACAGGTTCAGGATGAAGGGGCATCGGGTCACAACTTACTCGAGAAGACCTTAATGTACTTGAACCTGTTCTATGAGTCTGTGAGAGTCTCAACTTTTAGACACATAAAATGAAGTTGGTACAAAAGCCTGGGTAATGTTATCACACTGGACCAGTAAGTGTACAACTAGAAAAGTAAAATAGAAAGGAACAAATAGTAAAAGATAGCATATATAGTATAAAAACATGAGACTAAATAAACAAAAATAAAATTAAAATAAGACAGAAATGCAATTTGAAAAGGCTAGGTTTGGATGCTGGCAAACATTTGACACGTAAGGCAAGCAGGCAGGACGCTCCCGCGGAACTGTACATGTGGCTTTCCGGGAGTGCGAAGGGAAGGTGAGAATGGAGCCGCCTGGGAGAAGTCTGTAGGTCAGTGAGCAGCAAGTGCTGCCTGCATACTCACACAATGGTCTTGCCGATGTGCATAAACGATTTCTCCACAAACTCGCGGACGCTGTGGACCTCCCCGGTAGCGATGACGAAGTCCTCGGGCTCGTCATTTTGCAGCATCAGCCACATAGCCTAGAGAGAGAGGCAGAGCCACGTGAGGTCGCACTCGGCAGCCGCTTTGGGAATACAGGGCTATCGCCATCAGATGCGGATGGGTACCCCCAGAAAGCTGGACATGAATTCAGTGCGATATCCCAGCCCTGCAGGCGTTCGCGCTCTTCAGCATGCCTCAGACGCATCCCGGGATTGCTTTGCTACATATGCCTAGGCCTGGCTGCAGAGTGTGGACCCAGCAGGAACATTTTATCTTTTATATCCCGGTGATTCTTAGGTAGTATGCCTTGGAGGAACAGGATGGTCAACAGCATGTGACAAACAACCTTTCCATAGTGTAATTATGAAAAGCCTTTCACAGTCTCTGGCTAATAGGGTTTTTAACAGTATCTTTAGGAAAGAACAGCTCTAAGGGCTGTCTAATTTTCCTACCCATCACCAATGGCAGGCAGGGAAAAATCATTTTACTAGAGATAATAAACTCAGTCATTCAGTTCTTCAAAAGTATAAACTCATTTCTTACCCATGAAGTTGAAAATGTATCAACTGGAAAGAAATCATCAATGGAGAAACAACCACAAAATACAGACTATTACTATTTTATTTTATTTATTTATTTTTATTTTTTTTGGTACCAAGAATTAAACTCACGATCTTACGCTTGGCAGGCAGGTAGGTGCTGTGCTGCCGACCTATACCCCTGGTCCAAACCTTACTATTTTAACTAGGTTTCTGAGAGGCAATGAATACATGAACACCAGGGTTACGGGCTTCCCACAGCAGCACTCAGAGTCAGGGACTCAGCTTCTCCCTACAGTGGTGACAAGGGCCGTCTCATCACATGGCAGCTTCTCACGGAATGAAGTATCCAGGTGGGCACAGTGCCTCAGCAATCTGCGGCAAGCATCACCATGTGTTTCTATGAGTTAGAAGGCTTTGATCCATGGTGTCCAGACCCAGAGTGTCCACAGCTTAGAACTACGTTAGTTATAAAGCATTCTACACAGTTCAGGATGTGGCTGGCATGTGACAGGAACCTGTCCCTTTGAGAAAGGCCCAAGCCCAGGGCAGGGAGTACAGCTCAGCGGGCCGCATAGTGCATGTGCTTAGCAAGTGCAAGGCTGTGAGTTCAATCGCCAGCACTAGAAAAGAGAAAAAAAGAAGGGAAGGGAAGAGAGGAGAGGAGAGGATAGGAAGGGAGAGGAGGGGAAGAGAGGAAAACAGAAAAAGATCCAAAGAAAAAATGGTTTTCCTCATCACTGTCACCCATTTCTCAAAATAAACTAGCTAAAAAGAGTAAGTACTTTGTTCTGACACTGACCCCATATTATACGCATTGAACCTTTGCTCTAACACTTGGTGAACACTATTTCCAGAGATGGTTCCCTGGCTAGCTTTAGAGAAGCTTAAAGACAGCTAGCTGAAGTCAAAATGCCAGCCTACCTGCCTTTCCTTAGAAAATGCCACAAAATCATTAATCTCGCTCTCTCTTCCTTTCCTTTTTTTTCTATTTGTGAATTTGTGGCAACCTTCTAAAAAACGTGTTTTCCTTTTACTTGAAGTCATTTCTTGTGGATATTTTCATATTGTTGGTATACTATGGATTATTTGAAATCATCTGTGTTTTTTTATTTTTTTATCATCTTTTTGTTTTAAGGAAGGTCATAGTTTGGATTCTTTCCCATTTGAAGTTGTATTTTTGTTCAGGGGAAGATGACAGTTAAGGCAGCTTCCCATGCCTTGGAGATGGGGCCCACTGGTGGGGACAATGGCAATCATTTCAAATCAGCGACATACCAAAAAGTACCTGGCAGAGGAGACTGCCTTGATGAGAACCCGTTTTGTTCACATTAATGAAATAATATCGTTCATTCTGCATTAAGAGACCCCAGTTGGTGCACACAGTTACAACACTTTTCAGACAGGTGTTTATGCTGCTGAGCTAAAACCCTAGCCTTTAGTTACAACATGTTCTATTGCTCTACTACTGTTACTACGGGTTGAGCTTGGTCAGTTTTTTTCTCTTTTTATTTATTTATTTTTTCCTCTTTTTATCAGTATCGGGGATCGAACTCATGACCGCCTGCTTACAAGGCAGGTGCTTATGCCACTGAGCTAAATCCCCAGTCCTGAACTCATGACTGCCTGCTTACAAGGCAGGTGCTTATGCCACTGAGCTAAATCCCCAGCCCTGCTTGGTCAGTTTTTAAAGGGCATCAAATGGAAGCACTCTCTTCAGAGGTCCAGTTCACACCCCGGCGGGAGCACACACTTGCTAGCCCCTCACACTGAAGTGCTGGGGCCAGGAGAGGGCACAGAGAAGTGCTCCAGGGCATGGGCGCCGGCCCCCTCAGAGGCCTGGGGAGTTCTTTGTAGACCTGCGCCTGCCCAGGAGCTCCCTGAGGCCTGCAATGCACTCTCTCCTGAGCTGCCTGCACACGGACCTCTCTGGCCATGGGAACGTGTTAGCTTTGTCTCGCTGTTTCCCTGTGAGTGGCAGCACCTGTCGTAGTGGCTTTGCTGGGCTCTAGCTGCCCTTTGGCCACCCTTCCCGATTAAGCCACCTCTGCGCCTCTCTGAGCAAGCCTGGTACGCGTATGCGCACATTTTATATACACACTAGTTCTGCCATTCGTCAAAATATTTCCAGAGTTGTTAGGAAAACTTAAATTATGCTTCTGCATAGAATTTCTGTTTGAACATTTTTCTGAGGAATTATATGTAACAGGGTAAATACACTTAAATGTGTTTCATTCACATTTTCATTTTTTAAAAAATGTTTCAGATAGGTCTTTTAGGACCACTTGGCGAATTTTATTTCTTTAGGGACACTTGTGCTAGAATGGTCACAGGAAAACCCTGGTTTAATCACATGAAGGAAAACAAGGGCTCAGAAAAATGAAAGGAGGAAACTCGACTGCCGGTGAGCGTGGCATAGTCCACACATGGCCCAGCTCCCTGGCCCATTCTGTCCCCACAGGGATCGGCGGGAGCCTTTAGCTTGCACGGAAGCTGGGGCCAAGAATCCACCCTTTTCTTTTCCATCAGACTATCTATGGCCTTTGACCTATCAATTTCTAGGCATTTCCTCTAAAGTTCATATTGTACCAGACTCCCGTCTGGGAATGGGAAGGGAAAGGATATACAATTCCAGATTTATTTGTTATTACTGAATAGTTTACTGGTTTTAACAGGGAGAAAGGGCTTTGTTTAACTTTCCACTGAGCATAATTAATGGTTATTGACTGGTAAATGAAGAACAGGTGACACTCTGGATTAGCAGATAAATGGTCCTGTGTTCTGGTGTGATAATGGGTTAGTAATTCGCCACAAAGCCCAGGCTGGGTGCATCCCATCGACGCCAGATCACGTTGAGACAAAGGCGTCTGTGTGGAGGACCCGGCCACCGGCCTCTGTGCACAGCTGCACACGTTGATCTGCTCCATTTATCCCCTGATGGATGGCACAACTGAGGCAAAAGTTCACCATGCTCCCCTTCCTGTTCACATGCGGGACCACACGACCCATGACACGCCGGGCCACTGTCTGAGCAAATCGCCACCGGCTCTGGCTGCCCAGCAAGAAGGCGTTGTGAGGCTGCACACTTCAGCCGCCAGCCTTCTCTTTGTCTCTCAAGAAATCGAGGAGGAAAAAGACAGACTCTTCCCACATTCTTTTGATGCCCTTTAAGGATGTGACTGACTTAGCCACTTCCTCAGACACTTATTTACTTTTAGTCCTGACCTGATTACCAGTTCACATGAAAAAATGCTCCTGCTTTTTATCCATCCCACAGGGAGGAAAGCAAATCAGCTAAGGAATGCACTGGAGCTTCAGAGTCTTCAACTCAAAAATATCCCTTCGTGGCAAATGAACAATGCAGTTTTCAGACTGTGTCTTGTGTTCATTTTGCACCGAAGGAGCAGGAAGGGAAACCCGACTCCACACAACCCAAGACTGACAGCCAAGCTGGGATGGGTGGAGATGTTTGTTCAATTTATATGTATGCTTCCCTATAACTGTATAATTAACCTATGCGCTTTACAAATCTAATTTAGAGACGTCAAATACAACCTTAATTTTGAGAAATTTCAAGTCTGCTACTTGGCTGTCTGAGGATGAACGCGGAAGTGCTTCAGAGGCCCGAGAGAGGGCCGGCTCTGGAGGCTGTTCATGCTGGCCCGGTGAAGGGGAACAGCCAAGGCCATCACCACAGCCGACTGACTACACCTGATTCCACGCATGCCTTTTGGGGTGTGATGTGTGTTTGTCTTAAAAATCTGGATTCTGCAATTGCTTCCACCTCGCCATTAACCTCCAGTTCAGTATCCAAGCTGCAAACACTTATTAACTGAGTTGGCATCCATGAATAACAAGATTTGTTAATCAAGGTTATGTTTAACTATGTGTATTTGACTGGTGCTTTCAGACCTGTGTGTCTGTGCTCCACATACTACTATCATAAAAATCATCTTAAAATGGGAAAAGAAATGTCTATGAAAGTCTATGAAATCTAGGGCAATAAAAATCATGGGGCTGTGAATGTAGCTCCTTGGTAGAGCACTTGCCTGGCACTCATTAAGACCCCAAGTTTTATCTCCAGCATCCCCCCTCCACACACATACACAGAGACACACACAGATACAGATACACACACACTAACTGACTAGTGAATTTGAACAAAAGGAAATCAGAGTTCCAGGCGAATGCAAGAGTGGACCCCTTCACAGCTCTATGTTCAGGTGTTGTTCAGCAGCTGCTGTCATGATGCTGGCCTTTTCTGCAGTGGGGTGGCCTGTTGTAGACCAGGCCTTATTCCTGATGAGTGGGCCCCAAGTTAGCCCAGGACAATACCCTCTACTCTGACATTTTTTGGGAAATAAGAGTCAAATATTCCACCCAATCAAAACAAAACTATACTGACAAAATCAAGTACCATAAACTCTCAGTTTAGGCTGAGGGCACTCTCAGCCCATCTAGTTTTTTTCATAAATTAAAACATGGTGGCATGTAGATTT